CACGTAGATGAACATTGTATGTTCTCTGAAGGAAGAGACACCAGAAAGAGGTAATGGAAGTTTAAGAGCATGGTGCCAAAGTTTAACAGCGTGAAGAGAAATCTTCCCATTGGAAACATAGGGTTAGGAGTAGAAAATAAGCAGGACTATTGATCTGAAGTATCTAGAATACTAGGCAAGGAATTGAGAGTAAGAATTGAACATAAGGCATGAGACTATTACACATACTGGAGCTCTGATACAAAAGAAAAGAATGGGAGGAAGAGGGAGGAAGGAAGAAAGAAAGGGTCCTAGAATCTTCTCCCACACTCCAATCATATTGCTAAATATCTGTGTCATTATTGCCATATCCAGAAAACTAAAGGGACTACCTATGATTATTTTTATTTTTTAGCCAGGGCAAAAAATATTCTTCAAAAATCAATTTACACCAGCACTCCAAACAATTCTAAACAGTATCCTAGAAAAAGACAATGAAGGTCACAACTCCATGAGGCCCAACAGAGCAAATTCATCAGGTAAGGCAAGAAATTAAAGGGAGAGGGAGGAAAAAAAAAGAACAACAACAGGAAAATAACATGACAGTGATGAGTCAATACATATCAGTTATAACCATCAATGTTAATGGCCTCAATTCACCAATCAAAAGAAACAGACTGGCAAAATGGATTAAAAACCAAAATCCAACAATATGCTTTATACAAGAAACACACCTAGTTCAAAAAGAAACTCATAGGGCCAGGGGATTTAGCTCAGTGGTTTTGCTGCCTGCTGCGCAAGCGCAAGGACCCGAGTTTGATCCCCAGCACCAAAAAAAAAAAACAACTCATAGACTGAAAGTAAAACGATGGAAAACAGTTCTCCATGCGACAGGAACCCGGAAAAAGCAATTTACAAACAATTGATCCTAGAACTGACCTAAACCCTATTTAATAACTTTTATGGGAAATGGTATATTTCCACTATAATGATAATTCAGTAATTAGAAAAAATACAGATATTATTTACTCTAAACTTTGAAAATTTTATTATGAAGGATAAATTTGTATAGCACTGAATAAAACCACAAAGGAAAAAGTTACTAACTGTAGTTGCATTGTTTCGTATATTATCTTGACATCTCTGGGTTTTTATCATAAATGTTCCTAATAGATAAAATAGATTTTGGTGTGAGTAGAGACATTAGTCTGTATGTGTTGAATTGGACATTGTCTATGTTTCACTGGAGAAATATGAGGGCTTTCCACTGAAATGGTGCATCGTGGGGCCAAGCTGACCCTTATAGGATGTTGGCCAGAAGCAACTCTGTAGGCTTAAGAAGAGATGTAAACATGTTAGAGATAAAGCCAAAGATGCAATGTTAAGCTCAAGCAAGAAGGGCCAAGCAGATCCACAAATAGTAAGATGAGTTATGGAACTAAAAGTTAAGAAAGTCTGATTTGGAAGAATTGTGCAAGATTTATTCAGACACTTCTTTGTGCTGGCATGGTGCTAGGCACTAAAGTATAATGATGAACAGAAAAAAATATATATATATATCTTTTAAAGATATACATTTTGGCCCTATATGAGACTTGCTGTCTAACTAGAAGAGAAATATCTATGAAAAATAGTGCATGATGTTAAGAGAATACTTAATAAGGTGGTATTGATTCAACCAAGGGAATCGGGGAGGATTCTTTTAAACTAAGCTAAGGTATGAAGGAAGAGTAGGCATTAACTAGGCCAGAAGGAGTTGGAAGGAGCAATACTAGGATATTTCAGGCAGCAAAAATAGTATGTGCAAAGTTCCTATGCTAGAAAAGGCATGATGCACCTCAGAAGCTAAATGGCCAATATGAAAATTTAATAGAAAAGTTGGGCCATTTTAAGAACAGTAAGGCACCACTGAAATGTTTTTATATTGGGTGATGATAATATCAGATTTCCTTGAAAGAGATCAGAAACTTTCATGTGGAAAATGGACTGAAAGTGTCCAGAAGTAGGGAAACCACATTGGCAAGGGCATTGCAATCATCCAGCAGGGAGGTGATGATAGTTTCCATTAGGATGGCGACATTGGGATAGGAAAAAGTAGATAAATCTGAGACATATTTAGGAAGTGAAATAGCTAGAATTCAGGTTATATATTGGAAATGGAAGGTGAAGCATAGCAAGGCATCAAAGATAACTCATAGCTATTTTGGCTTGCATAACAGGCTGGATGGTGTCATTCTCTGAAATAACATGAGACGAAGGTCAAGTGTTAAGATTTTTGGAAGGAGGAATTAAAAATTCAATTTTGATTTACCAAGTTTGAGGCACCTCTGAAATAAACAGGTGAAGTTATCAAATACTGTGACTTTCTGGGCTAGAAAGAGAAGTATGGGCCAAGAGGAAATTTGACAGTCATCTGTGCGGGGAGCTCCCTACCCGCTCCTTTTTAAGTCCTATGGGCAGGACAGGAAAGACATATCTGAAGGATGAGGTCAGTCCTATTCAGCCATTCATCATATTGATGTAACTACCAATTTGATGAAAATGTTAATCTCAGTAGTCTTTTGTTTGCTAAGGACAAGCTTTGATTTTTATTGCAGACTGAATTGTCAATAGCATATAATTTTATAAGATAGTGAGAAGTATTTCTAGTATATGTGTGGTTTATCAAATTTAAAAATATCATGTTCATTTTATGCTCATATTTTTCTAAACATTAAAATTCAAAGGGACAGGAATTTAGCTCAGTGGCACCACGCCTGCCTTGCAAGCACAAGGTCCTAAGTTCAATCCCTGGTAGCGGAAAAAAAAAATTCAAATCTCACTTATTGCTCTTTTTTTTAAAGTACCCTTATAGCAGTGTTAAAACAGTTTTTTAAAATCACTTATTCAGGTCTGGGGATGTAGCTCAATGGTAAAGCATTTGCCTAGAATGAGCAAGCCCAAGGTTCAATCCCCAGTATTAAAAAACAAAATCACTTCTATATTTGCCTTGCATACATTTGTATGTGTGTGTGTGTGTGAATGTTTCAAAAACAAGACCTACATACTTCAGACAATTATTATTGGTTTTCTATTAAATTTGTGTAACACAAATAAGAAAATATATGTAATAGGACCAAGAAAAATATGCAATTTTCTTCATAACATAAATTCACTCTTTATTTCAAATCTACATTTAAGAAAAATTATATTGACTCCCAAGTATGTAATGACTAATATTTCTTTCTCATTTAATAAACTCTTATTTTTTTGGATGAAAATTATATATGTCAGATCTGGGAACTGAGCCAGGGTCCAGCAGTTTCCAAGAGGTATAGAAAGGTGCTTAGATATGCATCTTTTTCCTGCAAGTCAGCATTCTTCCTCCCTTATATAAATAATCCTATATCATCTTCCATCCCATAGACTACTGCAATTAGGTCTGCCTTCTAAAATCATATTAGTACTAGAAAAAGCCTTTTCACTGATTATTCAGTGTATCTTTTAAAGTGTATAGTAGATCTTTTGAAGTCCAAATGTTCTATTTCTTATTACTATAGTAGATAAAAATTTACTAAAAGGCAGTTATAGACTCTACATACCAAGTTTTAGTTAGTAGACACTGAGAATAGTCATCCATTTATGGAATAAAATTCATAGTTGAAGCATTTTGTAATCAAAATCAGTAAGATGAGAGGTGCATACTGCATTTTAAAATCAGGCTCAAATGTGAGATTTTTACCGATAATTTTACTTTAAGCCGATCATATTTCTCAACTTCCTGGAGACTGCATTTGTAACATATAAGTGAAATGGAACCTTTTGAGCATTAAGATTCTATCTAAAATAAGAGCTGAAAATCCCTATTAGTCCTTAAGGAAAAATGACTCCTTCTAATTGGCATAGAATTTAAAACAAATTCTGGAACTTCAAGAAAATGAAAATCATAGTATTTGCAGGCCAGGGATTTAGCTCAGTGGTGCCACTGCCCACCTTGCAAGTGCAAGGTCCCGAATTTGATCCCCAGCACACACACACAAAAAAATCGTAATATTCTCAATCTCTGTTAAGCCACAGAACCTTGGTTCTGCTTAAATTTGGAATGTAATGTCTATTTTATGACTAATTTACAATCAAAAATCTTAGTTCTCATTAAATAAGATCTTAGAAAACATATCAGTTTATAAGAACCACTATAGCACCATTCCTTACCATTTAACCATTTTTTTTGCAAAGTGCTATGTGATATCATCAAATAAATTAATTTTGATGATCAAAGTTACCCCAGGCTGGATTAACTCCCCCTGCTGATTAGCCACATAGCACACATTTTCTATTAGAATATAAAATTTTCTGTGAGAACAGTGTTTTTACGCTTAAGAAAACTTACCTCAGGATATCCATGTCGTAATAAGACAGAGAAATGAAAGACTTAAGAATAGGGTTCTGTTCCCATATGCAAGCAACTACAGCCAGCCCTCTTTACCATGGACTTAGGTAGTGGTGTGCTATTTGAGCCTGCTGATCCTACATCTTGTAGCAATTTAGAATGATGCTTAGACTTAATGGGGCTGGAATTAAATCCAGTCTGCCATTTAATAGTTTGGGCAAGTTATTTAATTTTACTCCACTTCAGTTTCCTCACCTATAAAATAAAATCATAGTAGTGTCAAACTTCTAAGTTGTTAATAATGACATAATATCTCTAAAACTCTTAGTTCATGTGCTAAGGTTTCAATAAAAGTTAGTTATTATGGAGAAGAAAACCCTCTCCATTTAGGATCAAAGCCAAATTTTATTTTATTTTATTTTTGGTATTAGGGATGGAACTTGGGACCTTGCACTTAAAACCAAATTATTTTTTAAAGTTGCCTCCTCTGGAATAAAAACAGGATTATGCTATAACTGATAATGCACAATCTATTGCGGAAAAAATATTTTAAAGTTCTGCCAATACCAGAAGGTAGAAGAATTCTACCTTCCACAGGCACAAGGATTTATTATTGTGTCAAGAATCACCCACATTTTTATCCTTTAAACAGGCTAAAAAGAGAGATGAGATTCTTCAACTTTTAAGAAAACAAAGAGAAGAAAGGATCTTGGTAAGAACAATAGTGAGGCATTTGGATACATCTATCTGAAAAGAGAATCTGTGGCAAGTTTTCTGAGGTTTCATAGATTGACTCCTTAAATGTAGCTACTCAGAGCGTAGACTAGAACCTTCTATATACTGGTGTGGGTGTAGAGGTCAGATAATTTGGCAATCCTTGAGAAACCAATGATATTTCCAGAATTTGCAGTTCTGGCATTTCATGGGATGTTGTTATCAGTGGAGTTTATTGTTTACATATTATAAAGCTTATGATATTAATAAGGGCTACTTCAGTGCCAGTATTTGTTTTATAACGATTAATCTTTTCCCAGATCATACAAAAATAAATGCTAAATGATGATAGACAAACTGTATAATTATAATAGCACAGTATAAACGTATGGGTACACAAACATATATTCCTGAATGAACCTCAAATTCATTAATCTGGGACATTTCTGCTGCAATTGTTTCCACATTTAAGAATTTAATCTTTACAAAACTTGTGATGATTTTACCTTAGATTTTTTTCAAATGAGTAAATTTTGATCACTGCAACAAGCAAAAGTTTTCCTTTCTTATTTTTTAGAAAGAATTTATTTCCCTTCCTTATAAACGTATGGACAAAGTACACAACAAAAAGTAAGTTTAGTTCTGTCAAAAATATTCTGCAGTTTTTTGTTTTGTTTTATTTTGTTTTGTTTGTAGTCTAAAGAAGTACTACTTTTTTCTTGTCCTCTACTGTCAGATCTCCTAAAAACTCACCCCACTGTATTAGGGGCTTTTTCCACTTTAAATAAACTCCATTCTCCTCGTAGATATGAAACCCTGTGTACCTACTTGTATAACTGTGAAATATGTAAGCAAAAGTTGGTGCAAACTGGAGAGCAGATCAATCTTGAGCCTGCACACTCACACACTCTCTGTCCCTCCCTTATGTAGGGTTGTTGTATTCACTAAGCCCTCACAGCTCCCTCCACCCCTGCCCACTGTGGTCTCACCATCTTCAGCATGTCAGCAGGCCTTTAGAGATGACAGCTCAGATCCTACCAGCAATGTATTACTAAGTTCATATAGCATAAAGATCCAGCCTCTAGTGATGAATTAATAGCCTTATACCTGGAATGTCAGTACAGGGCCAGGAACACAGTCTGGAAGAGTTTAAAAGAAATCAACTATCACCACTTAATTATTAAAATATATCTAATGTTTATAAAGCTCTCCATTTTGTATTATTAAAAACCAATGAGGCCAACAAACATTAACTTGAGATTTATTTTCCTACTGTATTCAGGGAAGAACAGGTGGAAAGTAGTAGAAGTTTGATTCTGATTTCACTGATAATGAAGCTGACTCCCTTTACTGTTATCAAAATAATTGCCTTAAAGAAGAATGAATATGCCTTTACTAATTTTTAAAACTTAAAAATGAAAAAAATCATTTAATCACCTAGCTATTTTCTCTTCATGCTGTTGAACAATTTAATGTCTTGTTTTTTAGCCAGCTGATTTGACTTGACTTCTAAGAGTGGTACAAAACTAGCCCGATCAAATGATTTTACTTGGGCCAGGGATTTAGCTCAGTGGCACCGTGCCTACCTCACAACTGTGAGGTCCTGAGTTCAATCCCCAGTACCAAAAAAATGAAAGATTTTACTTAACTGATCCAAATAATGAAGACTGCTACTTGAATAGTTTTAAACAGATATGTTTGGGTGCCTTAGATTTCTACATGTATTTTTACACAATAGTCCTGCTACTACCCATGTTGGTCCACCTAAGAGTAAAACATTATTTTATGGTTGAAACAGATAGTTCTCTTTGGTTAAATATTTTAGTTATTTAATTTATTTTGTAGTATATTCATTCTCTCCTCTACCCTGTCACCTGAATTTCATTCAATTTCACAGTAACATCCTTTGCCTCTGAACTTCCTAGAGTTACCATTTGTACCATACTTTTGGTAATTAATCATGTGTTATCTTAATCATAATATTTTATAATTATTTAATTCTTATTATCTCAAATTATTTAACACTTCACATATTTTCTGACTTGTCTACAACTACAATGTATGCTCCCATACCCGGTGAGATACTGGGTCACCCAGAGTCCCTAGCACACTGCCTACATGCTGGAATTCAGAAAATATTTGTTTAAAAATTTTTAGTCCAGGAATATCATGTAATTCCATATTAGGTAATTTAGAAATTGATATTTTATATTATACATTAATTTATAAACATTTTAAATTTGTAAATATTTCAGGCACAATTGTAAAATACTTTAACTTTTCCCTCTTCTTTCTCCATCTTTTCCTCTCTGCCTTAAACTCCCCAGCACACAAGATACATCTTTCCATTTCCCTTCTTCAACAGATCTTCTTAAGATTATCTGTATCTCCTTCTATCAGAAAGAACTAGAGGGGCTGGGGAGTTAGCTCAGTGGTACCACCGCCTGCCTTGCAAACGCAAGGTCGAGTTCGATCCCTGGTACCAAAAAGAAAAAAGAAAGAAAGAAAGAAAGAAAGAAAGAAAGAAAGAAAGAAAGAAAGAAAGAAAGAAAGAAAGAAAGAACGAATGAACTGGAAAGTATATTCATGTAACATTTGAATAGCAATATATCTATTGTCTACTAAGAAATTTTTAAATTTTAAGAGGGCAGAGTAGAAGGAACAATGAGTAATCCAAAGAATCAATTACCCATGATGAAATAAATCCCAGAAGTTTGATTCTTGGACAAGCAAAATACTCAGGGTAGGAGGTTTTCTCCCATGCACTTGAAATTACATTTTGCAGCATAATAACCACTTCTCTCACATATAATTTTACATATGATTACAAAACCTAATGCATACTCAGAATTCAAAACAGTGAATTTTGTTGTGGAAATTTTTTAGATTTTTTAATGCTGCATTGTGTTCACAATTACAGAGTTCTATATAGGAACTGATTCATATTACTACCAACAGGCAAGTGTTATCAGAGTCAGAGAAAAAGGACCAAGAAGAAGTCAAAGCCTTGGACTGATTTGACTGACTCATGGTAGAGGATGGCTTACATACATCTTCAGCTTACATCAAGATCAAAGTTAAAACAAAGAAATAAAAGATTTACAAGTTTCTGGGAATTTTACTGGTTATTGAACATGTTTTAAAATAGATTGAAAAATAAAGGTTTTTTATATGCAGTCTTCTATGGTTTTAACCAATTTTTTAAATATGTGCCTATTTTATTTACTGTATACTACTACTATGTTTGGCATCACACCATAATCATTTCCCTCAACTTTTGCAATCTCAAACTTCTATTGTTTTATTGAAGGATATTTCCAGAATTTCTAATCTTTATTTATATTATGAATATCACATAAAACAGAATCAAAGGTTTTATGTGCTGCCAACATGTACAAATAAGAAAATAGGAATGGAAGAGAAGTCTAAAAAACATAGCCTTCTTGCTTTAAAAAAGTCTTTCTCCAAAATTTAGTTTATGCCATTTCTAGAACATGTCTGAAATCAGAAATGAATGGCTTATGTTGCCTACATTTTACATCCAGGTACATAATTCCATTGCCAAACTATCTCATTTTCAAGGTTTATTCTGTTTAGTGTATATTGATAAAAAGAAGGTTAAGTATATGTACCTCCTGTATTGTCCAATGGCACATCTACTAACAGTTATATGCTCCGCTTCAGTGTTTGAAGCTCTATTTTTGGGCCTCCATTCACTTCACCATTGTCTTTCACTGAAACTCCTGGGCATAATCTCCATAGGATGCAGCTGACATCCACACTGCCAACAGATGAGTGTGTGACTTGTTGGTCAGAGCCTAATCACAGGGGCATGCCAGCTGCAAAGGTAGCTAGAAAGAATCTTTAGATGGGGGTGAAGATGGATCTGCCTAGTTAAAATGCAAGAACTCTGTTACCAAAAGAAATAGAGAATGGGTATTAGGGGTCAACTACAGGTTTCTGGCACAATACTATTTGCAGAAAAATATTTGGAACCAAAGAAAAACAGACCTAGAAAAGGAACATTTTAAAAGTTATAAATTGGCAATCTCATCCTAATACTATCAGGAATAAAAGGTATCCTGTCAAGTTAATATATTTGTCAGACAGATCTTTATTGTGAAGATGAACATACAGGTTATCAAAGCCCAAATTTTTCTAATTCCTAATAAACAATTCCCTTTGTTCTGATTCCATGCTTGCTGAGAATTTTTTTTCTTGTCCAAAGAAGAGTATGTGTCCAACAGGCCAACACAAATAACAGTTCATGTGGTGATTATATTTCTCAGCATGTAAATTTATTATACTTTGAGCATCCCATATCCAAAAATGTGAAATCAAAAATGTTTCAAAATCCCAAACCTTTTGAGAACAAATATGATGATCACAAGTGGAAAATTCTACATATGACCTCATGTGAGGAATACAGTCAAAATTTAAACACACTAAAAATGTTTTATACAATTACCTTCAGGCTATGTGTATAAAGTATATATGAAAAATAAATTTTGTGTTTAGACTTGGGTCCTATCCCTAAGATATCTCCTTGTGTATATGCAAGTATTCCAAAATCTAAGAGAAAAATCCAAAATGCTTCTGATCTCAAGTTTTTTTGATGGGTGATTAGAAGAGAGACCACACATTGTGGGCTAGGTTGGTTAGAAAAGCTTTTCCAGAGGAGTTCAACCATTCTTTCCTAGAGGGGTCACCTTCCTCCAGCCACCAGTCCAAGACTGAATTCCACAGCCTCCACCCCCACTCCCATCATATGCCCTTCAAAAAGCAGAATCATTTTCTTGCTGAGATCTGGAACCTTTGTTGACTTCTATCATTAGAAGTCACTCTTTCACCCGTAACTCCAACTCAGTCACCCTCTGTGGGCACTATCCATGCCATGTCCTCAAACTTTCATGGCCAATAGGCACACAGCTGCTTGAGACATCCAGACATTTCCTTTCCCAGGAGTAGTAGCCCTGAGACCTGGGACTGCCTACTGAGCCCCAGGTAGGTATAAAACTTCCCTCTCCTAGTTGCCCTACACTCTCAGAGATGGATGAACTTAGCTACGACCCTGGAGAATAGGGACAAGGCACTGGTTTTCGTCACACTGAACTCTTGCTATTTCAAGGAAGCCATCCTGGGATTTTCCTCCACCTTGCGCCTTACGCAAACTCAGAATCTCCCCCTTGAAACTCAGAGGAGCGGAAAGCCCTCTGGCAGCAGAATATTTGGCGTCTAGATAGCTGGAGGAGACCTTCGGGGGCGTGCCTGGCTGCGGCTCTGCCCTGCCCGCAGTGACGTCCCAAGGGGCGGAGGTGCAACTACTGACTCTGCGCCCACCCCGCCCGCTCGCAGTGCCTGGTCCGACGGTCCTCGGGAGATGCTGCTGCCGCGGTTGCAGTTGTCCCGCACGCCGCCGCCAGTCCGCCCGCTCCACTGCCGTAGCGCCCGGGTGTTCGAGGGCGCACCGAAGTCGGGACATGCAGCCGGGAACTGCGCTGCAGGCCGTGCTGCTGGTGGGGCTGCTGGCAGGGCTGCGGGGCGCTGAGGTTCGCCTGCTGAGCGGTGAGTACTCGTGCCAGGGAGGAGGCTGTGGCAGGGGCCGGCTAGTCTAAGGGCACCCACTGCACCCCAGCCGTTGCTGCCCCTCCTCAGGGTTCGCTGCGCCCTTCAGAAGGCCCTCCGCTGGGTACCCCCCCCCAACTGCTGTCCCTGGACCCAGCCCTTCAGAGGCCCCGCTTCCAGGAACCAGTTGCCCCCATCTGAGACCAGAGCCGGTTCCTGGGGCGCCCAGTTCTCCAGTATCCTGGAGAGCTCAAGTCCGCTCCCGGCCCAGCGTTCCTGGGTGGGTCGGAGGACGTCGGCTGGGTGGGGCAGTGAGAAAACTTGCTTTGGTGGGAGCCCCTTCGGCCCGCTCCTCAGAGCTCGGCGCTGTCGTGCCTAAGATGCCCACGGGGGCCAGGCTCACCAACTCACCCCCTTCTACTGCTCACTCGGGGAGACAGCCACGCAGCATGGGGTTCTGGACCCCTGCCTGCTACTCCCGGTGTCTCTGGGAGAGGATGGCTGGTTCCAGCGCCTGAAAGGAAAGCGCTTAGAAATCGCGAAGGCAGCCTAGTGAGCGCGGGACGCGCCCCGCCTGACTCCAGGGAATGACTCTGCTTCCTTCCTTCCTTCGTGTCATCAGCCTCGGACTTGGACGCTAGAGGAGGTACTGTGATCTGGCTTCTTGCCTCTTTCAGTTGTTCTGCATGTTAGGGGGAGAATATCCGTGCCTTTTTCTCGGGCTCCCCTTCTGTAGCAGCCCACAACTTTATCAGAGGGACCGAGGAGAGCGGGAACCTCCTCCACCCGGGCATCCCGGCTGTAGGTTGATTTAAGGAATCTACAGTTGGTTTCAGGACGGGGGAAGGGGTTGCGGGAGAGCCAAAGGGGAGAGCAACTGAATTGTTTGGCCTTGTGCTGCCTAGGCTCTGTACTTGTTGGTAGAGGGCAGAAGGCCCGCCCACCCTTCCCCTTCCTGCAAATGAGGAGAAAGACACTTCCTGAAAGCAGGAGAACCAGATGGGCACTTGGCCTCCTTCCAGCTCTGGCTCACTCCGGCATTCACTGCAGAGTTGCAATGTGTGGCCAGGCTGGACCATACAGGAAACTCGACTAAGGTGTTATGTTTTCCCTTGACAATCCGGAGTGGAAAAGTGAGGGCTGCCAGTAAATTCAACTCCAGTTATGTTATGCTAGTCACCAGGTTAGGAGTGTGCCTGGCTGGGGTCCATTTGCCTTTCCTTTACTGATTTTTATTTTAGCAACTTTTAAGGAACCACAGAATCTTGGCCATCCCAGCCTCCTCCCCCAGGTCACCCCTCAGCCACAGCCTCTCTGAAGCATCTCTTGGTGAGAACATCCTTTTCCTTTTGACCCCTCCTAATTTGCTGGTGGATCCATCCAGTTTGAGTTGCTCCATTTAGCAACAATAGCTTTAAAAAAAAAAAGTGGCAGGAAAAGGGAAAAGGTCCAAGACTCTTCCAAATTGTTTCTTTGTGAGAATTTCTTTATCAAAACGATGAGAGAAGAAATAGAAAATAAAAATTCACTGGAGCTTTCTGGATCATCCTGATGTAGTTAACTGTCTGTGGCCTTTTGCCCTGTATTCTGGACAGTATTGGGAATAACAAAAGCTATTTGGCTTCTTTCACTGCTGCAAAGCAAGTTTGGAAAAATGAGAACATTCCAGAAGTTCTGGAAAGAGATTCCCAAACCCAAATCCTTCACCCCTCACTCTGTGGTAGCAATTCACACCCCCAGCCCACAGTTTTGCTCTCTCTTTGCAGGGGACTACTCTCTTTGTTGAAATGTGGTTTTCGTTTTGTACATTTAGATCCAGAAACATGCTAGAAACTGGCATTTGTTTCTGTATTCTCAGCACCTAGCTCAATAAATGTTGACTGAACAAAGGAGTAATGAATGAAAAAGGGAAAAGAGACAAGAAAGAACAGAAGAATAACAAATGAGACTAAGATATTAGTTGCAGCAAGCCTTCAATCACCCAGACACAAAGTAGGATAGCATATACTGATGAATAGTTTGTTACTAATGTCTCAGTAAAATCCTGTTCATTTTTTCTGCAGTAGTTTTCAGCCCGTCAAGTGTCAGTCAGATGAGACACATTACATAGACTCCCATTGCAAGCTAAATCTGGGATGGAGTGGGGAGCCAGAAGTATAGATCATGACTTTGACATCATATCTGTATTCTGACTTGGACTATGCTGTTGATAGCTAATAATTTGACCTTAGACAAATTATTAGGTTACTCTGAGTCTTGGTTTTCTCATTTATAAAGTGGGACATAAACAATATCTGCATCACAGGTTGGATGTGAGGGTTAAGTGAGATAAGGTATGTATGTAAATATAAAGCTCTTGCTATGGAAAAGTTCAATAAACCTTAGCTGTTGTCTTTGAGTCAGAGAACTGTCAGTAGCAGAAAATCCCATAGATCTAATGCTATAAGCTTCTACTCACATCAGAGATTGAGCAAATTATTCCTCCTGCATAGGTAGAGGAATTCGTACCTGACTTCAGAATGTCTCTCTTACCTGAAGGAACCACTTGGCAAAGATAATTATTTCAAGACACACTAATCCCCTGAGATTCCCTAATAGCTTGAAAGTATTATTTATGTGTCTTATGTGAAACCATCAATCTTCATCAACCTGTCTTTTAAAAGATAGCAGTTTCTACTTTTCAAGAATTTTTAATGGAAAAAAAAACAAAACATGGTGTTCCTATACAATATGGACATCAGAGTTTAAATCACTGCAACTCTATGCTAAATAGAGTATTCATTTTCTTTGGAAACCCTAAATGACATGCTAACAGTCTGATGATAAGGGATCAGAATTGCTGACCAGAGATAGGATTATTCCCCGCGGTGGTATACTTTTTGTGGACATTGAAACAGGTGGCCTTCTTTTTTCCTCTAGGGCAGCTGGTCTGCCGGGGAGGGACACAGAGGCCTTGTTATAAAGTCATTTACTTCCATGATGCTTCTCGAAGACTTGACTATGAGGAAGCCAAAGAAGCCTGCAGGAGGGATGAGGGCCAGCTAGTCAGCATCGAGTCCGAAGATGAGCAGAGACTGATAAAAATGTTCATTGAAAACCTCTTGGCATCAGATGGTGATTTCTGGATTGGGCTCAGAAGGCATGAAGAGAAACAAAGCAATAGTACAGCCTGCCAAGACCTTTATGCTTGGACTGATGGCAGCACATCAAAATTTAGGTAAGTGTGTAGAACTCACAGCAGCTGATTCTCATAACATAATTTGGAAAAGAGGCAGCTAGATCTGTGGTGCCAGATCCAAGGTGCCAAATCTGCGGGGAAGGGGAGAAAATGAACCAGGCAGAAACTAGGGTATAGTAACAGCTACTGACCAGAGCACAGTGTTGAAGGTAGTGAGCTCAGCCATGACTTAGGCCAAACTGATGTCCAGAGTTCTGGTTAGGTGGCTAAAGCCCAGTAGCATTGTCTCAATGGCACACAATGCTTGACGTCAGTGGTTCTGGCTATCTGGTGTTTTGGACTACAACCTTATTAAGAGACTGAAGGTCCACAGAGCTTGAGCCAGGATAGAATTCCAGACCATTGTGAAATATGGTAATGGGCAAGAAATCAGAGCCCAAGATCTAACTTCATGGAATGGCCAAGAGTGGGGACTTTAGGAAGGCTGCAGTTTGTAGGAAGCCCCTAAACCCACAGCACCAAGACACTAATGCTCATACCCTATCCTGGCACCGCTGCCATCATCCATCATGAAAAAATGCAATTGTGTGGACAAATATTAAAAATATATGAAAATTAGTAGACAGACATCGGACTGGGGAAATATCTGTAAAAACTCTAATAAAGAATTAATATCTTTTTATGATAAAGAGTTTATATAAATCAAGAAAGCACTAAGACTCTCAAAGGATAAATATAAAGCAGCAAAAGACCTAAGCAGAGAGTACATAAAATAGAAAATCATATTACAAAAAAATCTAACATCATTATCAGTCAAAAGGATGAAGAATGTTACATTTAAGACAGAATGTCTGCATCCATCACTGTCTACCCACTCTGTCAGTCAAATCCTTATCCAGTATTCTCATGGGCTTCCCTTCCTGAAAGAATCTTTTTAAAAAGAAAGATTAACAGGGTGAACTATATTTCCTATCACTGCAGCTGGTCCCAGGGCCACAACTGATACCTACTGTCCTCTTTTCTCTACTATCCAGTCCAGATTCCCCCATCTTCTTCTGGTGTCAATGGCTGGCCTTGTGTCATGACCCAGACCCTCATCTCTGAAAAGTCCCAGGCCCTAGTCACCATGTACTTCTCAGGCTGGACTTAATGCAGTTTATCATTGACCATCAAAATTGAGCAAGTGAGTACCAAAAGATATCCAAGTAGATAACCTGGGACTGTTCTCCCAGCCCATATTATGTGACAGCAAACCTACCTCCTCCTGATGATTTGAGTCAATTACCATCTGCCAAGATAATGACATCTCCTTTGCATGCTGGTCCTTGAATACAAGGATCTTAAGTGTCTAAGACACAGCTATGGCTCATAGCTCAAGACTCTTATATCTTCTAGCAGAAGTATTCCCCTCTGGAAACTAATGACTCCCAAAGCCCATCATTGCAGAGAGAGTTAGGGTTAGGGTTAGGGTTAGGGTTAGGGATCCCTACCTGATGGTACTCCTGATGTCATCCCTTCACTCCCAACCTGTTTATTCTACTCTTGGAGACTCAAGACTATGGAAATCATTGACTGGATAATGATGTCCCATCTCAGAATACTGCCACAAAGTTGATGCTTCATCTGTGCCTTCAACAGGCTATTCCATCAATCTTGCAAGCTGGCAGCTTCAGGGCAGTGCAATATGTGATCTGACTAGAAAAAGCCCATGGCTAGGCACCTACTCTCACACCTTCTTTGATATAAAATAGGTCTTTTTGTCTGATGAGATATTGTTTGTAATCCTGTTCTAATGGGTTAAATATTGTGTATGCCTTTGGATAGCAGTGCTGACTAAGGCCCTGAGGCAGGAAAGGCAAACCCATGCCCAAACTGTGTATCTGTTCCTACCAAAATGAATCATTGTCCCTTTCAGTGGTCCAATGTACTTAACTTGTCATTGAGTGCCATGTTGGTCTCCTCAAATGTTTGTGCTCTATCAGAGACATAGCATTGGTTGTCTCCTTCTGGAAGGCTGGACATTTGGCAGTAGTAGTACCCAGATCTGTCTTGGTGATTAGGAGCCAATCTGTTATGCCCATGCATAACCTCCATCCTCCCACCATGGCTACTCTACTTATATACCTATTGTGCTAGTACTAAGGTAGCTTGGGTGGCTGCTAACAGGATGGATGGTATCACCATTGGATTCATTTTGCCTCCCTGGTTGGTTACTGCCTCTTCTGTGATAGATGCTCCCTGGCGAGGTTTACATGTGACATAAAATTTTTCATTTTACATACATTCGCATGCATCTATCATCATTCTATCAAAAACTTCCCTAACCCCAATCTTCCAGTCTTCTTCCTTTCATTAGTTGGCCATGCTATTTGCCTTTCCCCTGAGTCTTTATATGGTCTAACTTCCAGTAACTTCTATTTCTATACAAGATGATTAACTAGATGCATCAACTAAAGTTCTGACCAATGAAAGTGTGTCCCCTTACCACTATCTTTCAAAGCCACCTCTGAGTGGAGAGGCAGTGCAGCTGCTGTCCACTTCAGCTTGTTCACCCATATTTAGCTTGGCTTTGCCATGAAGCAAGTTCAGGCTACCTGTATCAGCTAGTCATAAGGGACTCTTCCATGCACTATAGGTGTGAGATGAGGGAAAAGCTCTGGTAGAGAAGCAGCAGATACCATGGGAGTCTGCTCTCCCCATACAGGAAGTGCCCTTTGGTTCTGGATATACCTCTTCCTCTTACAGTGGATTAATTCTGGCCTAACCAACTTGTGATAAGGTTTTTCTGACATCATGTGACTCATGACAGGCAGGTTGGGCTGCACCATCTCTTGGTTAATGCTCCTTACTTAGTAGAAAACCTGTGTTGAACATTCATTGTAATATTTGGATATACCCCCTTCTCCAGTGTATGGTTATGAGTATATACTCACAGACTCCTTTGGGGAAAAGACAAGAGAAATTGTTATCATATGCACCTGTCACTGTGTTGCAGGTCCTTCCTCCTGGCCACCTGGCCTCTCCCTCTATCCTTAAGTTCTGAGTTGGAAAACTGGCTCAAGTCCAAAAAGTATATGCCAGCTATAATATTCCATCTATCTTTGAGACTAAACAACATAAATCCATAAGGTCAGTGAGGAGGGCCAATGGAGTTAGAAAATGGGCTGGAGGTAATTAATGAGATACAAAGCTCAGCCTTCATCAGGGCTCCAGCTGTCCAGGCATAATGTCCAAGGGGTGCTCATTGTAAGCTTAGCTATTCTGGAAATGCCTGGTGGGGAAATGATTTTCTTTTTGGCAGACTGCAACACAGGACTGAAGCAGAGCCATACTTAGTGCTTCCAGGAGACCTTTCTTTTAGCTGTCTCTTTGCCTAGGAGGGGCTCTGACAAAGTGAGGCAAAGCAGCAGTGCCCAGCTAAATAGTCTGAGTTTCAGGGCAAGATGCCAGCCCTAGAGGGAAACAGCTCAGATGGGAAGCCAGAAAGACTACAAAGTCTGACCCAGACAGAGTAACACATGGGTTACGTGCTTACAGATTTAGACTTCCTATGGCAGTGATGGAGAACCTTTTAGAGACTGAATGCCCAAACTGCAACCCAAAACTCATTTATTTATTGCAAAGTGCCAACACTGCAATTAAACCTGAACACTGAGGTTTTACTTTAGAAAAACAACTGTTATCCAATGCTTGGGTGCTGGGGTGACTTGCCTTGTGTGCCGACAGAGAGGGTTTTGTATGCCTGCTGTGGCACGCGTGCCATAGGTTCACCACCACTGCCTTATGAGATCCAAGGCTTTAACCTGCCACCTGTATACCCAGTTAGGTGGCAGTACCATTTAATTTCAGGTACCTCTGGAAAGAGGAGCTAAGGCTATGAATGCACGTATTCAGAGAGGTAGAGAGGCAAAGATAAGACACCTGGCAGTGGAGGCTAAAGGGTTATCAGCCTGATCAAGTGGAAATGGCTTAAAAGGTGGTCCTCTTGCCTTCACCCAACCCCTGACCTGCTTTGACAGCCTCCATATCTTAGAATGTCTTGCTCAGATGCCCGAACTTTCCATCTACCTCCCAGGCTGGGAAGGCAGTTGTGGCTATTGAAAAGCAGAAGAGGTGGAAGCAGGGCACATTCTGGATGAGATACATCATGCCTCTTCAGTGCATCTGATCTCTAAAAAAGAGAAATAAAACCCAATTAGCAAAAAGCAAAACAGAAATAAGATTATCCAGTCTAACCCTGCTAGCTGCTTTTTCTCATAATTAATTTGCAAACATTTAAAGGTAATATAGTCCTCCCTGTAAAGATGTGGCAAATGTCAGCTGATTGATGATGTCCATATAAGAAAGCCTGTGGTTCTGTTTATTGGCAGTGCTTCAATTTCCATCCCTCCCTCCTTGTCCTCTGAAGTAGAATCTTATGTTCACAACTCAATGGAACCTGGTAGGAAAACAAAGGCTTGAAAGCCTTGGCATATGTTTCTCCAGTTGCCTCCATTCTTGATCTTTTTCCTGCAGGAACTGGTACGTTGATGAGCCTTCCTGTGGCAGCGAGGTCTGTGTGGTCATGTATCATCAGCCATCAGCACCTGCTGGCATCGGGGGCCCCTACATGTTCCAGTGGAATGATGACCGATGCAACATGAAAAACAATTTCATTTGCAAATATTCTGATGGTAATGAATCCTCTCCCAAGCTGTGTGACTAAATGTTTAACCTCCTCTCTCCTTTCATAAGCAGTTGCTAGTGCCAAGAATTTGTTATGTGGTCACCAAGAAAGCTTATTACAAATGCCAGCAATGTTAAACTTTGGGAATTCTTGTAAAGAGACATGTAGTAACAGTTCCTCACCCAGGAGTAATTCTAGCAAAGGAAAGGTTATCAGATGCTAAGAGAAGGGATGAAAAAGGATCTAATATCAGTATGATAAAGCAAGACATAAGAGACTATCCAGAAAGAAAAAGCTATCTTCATGGAAAAACACAAATTCTTTCTTGTTCCACATGTGAGGTTGGTTGTAGGAGTTTGGAATAACATGACCATTGCTCCTACAAATCCTCTAACAGCCATGTGAGATTATTTTCTGGGAACTTAAGGAAACACACTAATGGCCAGAGGAAACAAATGATAAAATACACCAATTTCAGTGGCACTAGGCAGAGAGGGCAGATACTTTGATGAACAAGCTTAAGCTCCCCAGACCACTCCCTCTGTGTATGCCTTGCAAAATCAACTTGGATTTGCTTTTAGATCTATAAGGTTTTGAATTGGCTATAAACTCATGGTATCACTCTGCTGAGGTTCCCAGACTCCTTTATTATAATGGACTTAGATTTAAACTTCAACTGGTTCAATCCATCCCTGAAGTTCTCACTTCCCTGAAGCCAAAGGCTTGGCCCCAATTCTGCATTCTTTCCTGATAGTAGTGAAGTGGCTTAGTTATATCTAGTTTGAGACTAAGTAGTACTGTCATTTTAAAATTGTTTGAATTGAACTACGCTTTGGGGCAATTTTTGCTGCTGAAAGAGTCTTCTTCCCCTCCCCCCCCCCCCCCCCCCCCCTCCTCCTCCTCCTTCTTCTATCAAATGAATTCTCTGGCCTTCCCCATTATACAGAATTGTCCCACCCAGGAGCTTGTAAAGACAGACTGGCTTAGTTAGCAGGTCACCTTCTCAAAGCAGTGAGAGCAGAACACTTTGTACAAACTAGTTTCCTATCACTTTTGTTTACTATATCTATTAGCTTCATGTTCAGTTCCTTAACATTTTTTGAAATATGAAATTTTGAAATTTTCTTTACTAGCCTTTTATTTTTAAACTTGATACCTTTCCAAAAAACACATTCTTCATTACTTTTGCTATTTCCTGCATTATTTAGATTGAGTTCTGGACCAAAAAAGATGATATACTCAAAGGGTTTAATAAGGAGACTATAATAAAAAGCATATTTTCAGAAGTGTAGGTAAAGAGCGGGAGATGGCAAAGTACCCCAACTGAACACAGCTCCTGCCAAACCGTGCTGACATGGAAAGGTCATGAAGAATAAGCACAGTGACCTTTCTCTCCTCCTACCCTCTGATCTCTTGTTTTTGCCTCCCATTGGGTAACTCAGAAACCAAGGGACAAGGGATTCCCAGTAAAGTAGTTCATAGGGATCAGCCTCCCAGGACACAGAGAATGGATCTAGTAGAGGGAGGTGGGTGTATGGAGAAGAACTAACACATTGCTTTTATGTAGCCACTTATCCTCAGAATAAGGTCATACAATTTGGCATTGCAAGGAAAGAATTGGCATGGTCAGACCCTTGCCTCCTTCTCTGGCCTCAATTCTCAACATTGTTACTCCTCTCCCCATCCTGCTCCAACACCTCTGCACTCAATGTTGTTTCCCCAAGAGCTTTTAACTGCTGTTTCCTGTGCATGGAATACCTTTCACCCTTTCCCAGTCTACTCATCCTCACCCTTCAGGTTCAGGTTAAACATCACCCTCTCTTGTAACAACTAAGTGCAGCAGTCATCCTGGATTGGATCCTAGACCATGATGATGATGAAGGTAGTGACAGTGAAGATGATGATTTTATATAAATGACATTATTAGGAGAATTGGCAGAATGTGAATAAAGTCTATAGATTAGATACTAATATTAATGTTGATTTCATTGTATTCTGGTTATACAGAGAATGCCCTACTCCTTCTTAAATATGGACTGAAGTATTTAAGAATAAAGAGGTCTGCAATTTACTCTGGAAAAGCGTAATATATATGTATGTATACATACATACAAATATATGCATATATGTAAAGATATAGAAATAAATTGGTAGATACAGAAATGTGGTAAAATGGCAAAGAGAATGACACTTGAGAATTCTTTGTACTGTTCTTGCAAATTTTCATAAACCTAAAGTTATTTCAAAATAGAAAATTAAAAAATGAATTTCTTTTGGAAAGATTTCAGGATCCCTCAAAAGTAGGATGGGTGTTTCTCCTCACACAGTTCTTTAACTGCCTTTTTCCAGGTTTGTCCCTTTCATTGCATGGCTGGCATTCAGTCTGGAAATGTACATGTCTAACCACTCAGTGGGCTAGGGGAAGATTATTTCTGTGGTTCCCACAAGATGCCACACTGTCCTGTTATCACAGTGGCAAGGGACTGGGTGAATGATATTATTCCTAGAATTAGATTCAAGCATGTGGCCATGTGGAATAGGTGGCATGCTAGCCAGAGCCGAACAACTGATTATTTCTGGGGTGCTAAAGGCACAAGAATATTTAGGGAAAATCAAAGAAAAAATATTCGAAAGCTCAGAAGATGAATGTGCTGAGATTGATGGAAATGTTGTATGCTTAGGCCATGCTTACTGTGATTCTGCACTATGGAAAGACAACAATACAAGTAGATCATGGATTGTTATTGGCTATACTATGTCTATCAGTGAAATATGAAATTAATGTTAATTAATATTCTATATATCTAGATTTTTGTTCATCCCGTAGAATATAAATATAAGCTCCTTGGAGGGATAAGATTATTTGCTGTTGGGCCAGGGATTTAGCTCAGTGGTTCTGCTACCTGCCTCGCAAGCGCAAGGTCCTGAGTTCAATCCCCAGTACCAAAAAAAAAAAAAAAAAAGATTATTTGCTGTTGTTTCTCCACAACCTAGCACAATTGTCTCCTTACTGTATTAATTTTATTTGTCTCCCTACTATTCTAATTTTATGTGAATTTATTTGGTTGAAACCCGAGTTCAGTTACTAGCTGTGAATTTGCAAATTACTCAATCTTCCTATATCTTGGTTTCCTCATGTACAAAACCAGAATAATAATGAAGCTCCCTCATAACATTATCAAGATTGAACTTGTTCTCATAAAACACTTAGAATAAAAAAACACTTAGACTCTTTTTTTTCACTACAGATGTGGATTTTCTTACTTATATAAATAAATTTGCATCACCCCTGCTTCCGCTCTGATGATTAGAAGTTTCTGAATGAAACCAGAATAGATTTGACATCTAAGTCTTGGGAATATGCTTTCTAAATCCCACTCTTAAGTACTCTGTTCCTATGAACTCTATGGCATCTGATTGATATAAGAGACTCACTGCCAAAACAAGAGGTCAATCAAAGCAAAAAAAACATCAACTTGGGTTACCTGCAATCTCACTTTCCTGAGGTTCTTGGAAGTACTTAAAATAACTCAGAGCTGATCACCAGTCTCTCTGCTTTTAGGCTGAGCAGTCCCTCAACTATTTTCATTGCTTGGAGATCAGTGTTTATTCATCTCTAACACCCCCCCCCCGACTATCCACTGATAAAATATCTTGAATTGGTTTAAAACAATCCAGGTCGAATGTAGAGAGGGAGGAGGAGATATTGTTGAAACTATATTAACTTAACTGTACATTGATAGGAGTAGAAGCTGTTTGGCAGCACATAGGGGTTCATTAGAGCAGCCTTTCTAATTTTGTGTATATTTGGAAATTCACATGTGTAAAAGTTCTGAACACCTTTTTTTTTTTTTTAAAGCACCAAATTAAAGCTAGGGGTAGGTTAGTCTTTAAGCAGAAGTAATTCTTTTGACTTAACTAACCCTTGGTATCTGGTAAGAGTAAATAGTCTGGTAACAATAAATAGTTTATTGGAAATGGATGTCATAATCTAATTTCATTCAGATGAAAGAAAACTCTAGTTATTATTTTCAGGTTTTTTTTCTGCTGCAGAAAAACCAACATCTCCTTTTATAAGGCCTGGAGGTAAGGCTGTTATTTAAGATTTGGGTGAATTTAGGCTGTTTTATACACTCTCTTCATGAATGTTACAACCATATGTCCTTTAGGCCAGATTATTTAACAGAAAGATCACAGTTGTTAACCCAGACAATTTGGACACCACAACCAGCCATGACAACTACTTTATTCTTACTCTCTGCTATTGTATACATCTCTCAAAGCTGAAAAGCAGTAGTTACAAGTTTATCTTGGGATGTTACTTATTATTATTGACAATATGAAGGAAATAATTTAATCTAATAAGACAAGAAATGAGCCATACTGACTACTTGTGGTCCTAGCAGTAAGGCACTGGCTTTCACTTTGGCACCTTAGTACTTTATATGGCTCAACGACAGCTTCTTGTTGCTTGCTTTGTTGTTGGATCCTGGGCAGCAAGGATCTCATCAAGAAGATGAAGACAAACCTTCGCAGCATCAAATTCTACCCTTTACTTTTCTATGTTTATAAATGTCATTGATCAAATTACTGCTGCATTTTTGCATCCCATTTCAAACATGACAAGATCTAAGAGTATATCTGGGTTTCAGTGCCTTTCTCCACATTTTCAAGTCTAATGTCTCTCTCCAGGTGAGGGAACGGAGGCAGCAACACCTGTACTTCCCAAAGAAACACAGAAAGAAGATGCCAAAGAAACATTTAAAGAAAACAAAGGTATGCACAGAACTTCCGTGGAAAAAATAGACAGTGGGCTTCCTTTGATCACAATTTACCTATGGTTACATTTCCTGCTTTGTTCTTTCTCGCAACTCCTTAAAAATGAAATTATACAAGGCACTTGGGATCCTGAAAAGCCTGTATTAAATTTTAGGTTTCATCGCTGTAATTTGCATCTAGAGCTATCTATGACAGTTAGGAACATCAAACTAGATGGTGAAAGATATGTGTGAAGACAAAACCTTGGGAATTAACCATGAGTCACAGGGAATGGGATCAAGCAGGGACTGAGAGAGTAGATATAAAGAAATGAAAGCAGAAAAAGCCAAGCTCTGATGTACAGCACCTGTGATTAATATTCACCTGTGAAACAAACAGAGGAAATGGGCAAAAACACTTAAAATGTTAGGTCATCAGAGGTAAAACAGCTGGGGATGTAGTTCAGTGGCACTGCACCTGCCTCGCAAGCACAAGGTCCTGAGTTCGATCCCTGGTACCAGAAAAAAGAAAGTCACAATCAAAAGGTAAAAGAAAATGGGGTGATTATGCTACATGGGCTTTCAAGCTCACTCTCACACAAAGTATCAAGAGGAAAATTTGGGGTTTTGTCACTTATAAAAACCACTTAATTTCTCTGTACTTCAGCTTAATCACTTGCATAATGGGAAGTAATAATATTTTTATTACCTACCTGGATTACTGTGTCCATAAAATGAAATAATATGCAATTCAATTCTGACACTAACCACCCAAGTTAACACAGACCCCACAGCTTAAAGGCACAACTCACAACTGCCTTCACTTCAGACATCAGCCACAAGTTTGGGGATCCTCAGGACACCTGCATCCCAACCATCTGGATCCAAATCCAGGGAGGAGCCTATAACTCCCTCTCAGGTTTTGTAATTCACTAGAACAACTCACAAAACTCAGGAAAACCCTCTATTTATGTATTTTGTTATACAGGATACAAGTCAAAAACAGCCAAAGGAAGATACATAGGGTGAGGTCTAGGAGCGTTCTAAATGGAGATCTTCTATATCTTCTCCCCATAAAATCTTACTAACCAGGAAGCTCAACTGGGCTTTGGTGTCCAGAGATTTTATCTGGACTTTCATTACACAGGCATGACTGATCTGAACATTGTTTATATGATACAATTCAGTCTCCAAAGGTGGGGATGATACCACCCAGCTCAAAGTTCCCACCTTATAATCACATAGTGGGTCTTCCAGGTGTGGCCAGCCCCTATTCTGAGACATCTCCTTCAATAAACTCTAGTACCACCTAAGAGGTTCACAAACAACAAAGCCAATCCTGTTACTTGGAAAATTCCAAGGATTTAGAACCTCCCTCTCAGGACCCATCAGTAACAAGGACCAAAACTTTGTTATACAATAGCTACAATGTGTGAAAAATATTTTGAAAAAAGAGCAGTGCTGTGCAAAGATGGGTGGCATTTCTATTGTTCATTGCTATTATAATGGTATTCAGAATGGATTTTGGAGTGTGTTTTCTGTTTTCTGGTGGGTGTCAGGTTTGTAGCCTCAGGAAAATGTACAAGCAGCAACCTCTGAATGGGCTCATGGGAATCTTGGATCAGCAGAAGAAGAGGTTAATTTTCAATCTTGATTCCTTTTAAAGCCTCCTGAGGGATTGATCTCTGGTTCTAAGTCTTAAAAGACTAAAACGTTCAGAAAGGCAGACCTCTAAGTGATATTCACAGTCACTGTCCAGGGACTCAACTGAATCCAGCTGGTCATAGTCAGAAATGTTGGTAATGCTTTGCATTCTAATTCATGTGTTCTGTGTGACTTTCTCTTTCACGGTAATGATACTGAGATTTCTGGCTCATTGTTTTTTCTCTGCCATCCCCCACCATTGCAAACAAAGGCATCACACTGCCCCTTAGCTCCTATCTGCTAAGAAGTACAAGAAACAGAGAATCTCTTCTCTGTAAATTTATCTTTAATTATCAAACGTGCCCTTTCAATATTTATAAGAGATCCAAAAATTTAAATGTATTTTCATTATTATTTAGAGTACTAGGACAGGCAGAAACTAGAAGACTTTTTGGATAACTGTGACTCTGTTAGCTAGGAATGTGCTTCTTGGAATACTCTGTATTGACTATACTTTTAAGATTTGAAATACATGCATACATACACACACACACACACACACACACACACACACGCGCGCGCGCAAATCACCAATGCTGACAATGTGCTTTTTTTTTTTCCAGGAGCTGCCTTGAATCTTGCCTACATCCTAATCCCCAGTATTCCTCTCCTCCTCCTCCTTGTGGTCACCACAGTAATATGTTGGGTTTGGGTCTGTAGAAAGAGGCAAGTAAAACCTTCATTCATGTAAAACTCTTCATCCTCTGCAAAGAGATTTGCCCTATTTACTTCATTAAAAGTCGTGGCAATTTTAAAGAATGACCACTGCACATTTGAGAGTAAAGTCTCTGGAGTCCTCAGGGAATTCAGACACTCTAAGCATATTTGCTTAATTGTAATTAAGAGTGTGATCGGGCCAGGGATTTAGCCCAGTGGTTCTGCTGCCTGTCCTGCAAGCGCAAGGACCCGAGTTCCATCCCCAGTACCACAAAAAAAAAAAAAAAAGAGTGTGATCTCACAGTCTATTTTTGTGTGTGTGAGGAAGAGTTTGGATGAAACTGTGTTATTCATTTCCTTTGTATCCATATATCATCCAACAAAACAGTCCTTGTTCTAAAATGTCTGTTGACTGAGTGGAGAATGACTAATGGGCCATATGAAAAGTGATTGTTCCAAATTTAAAATTACTTTTAATTTACTCTAAATTTAAATTACTTTTAATTGATTTTTCTTTTAATTGAATACACAAGAGTAGATTGTTACAAAGCATCTATATTAGGTAACCTAGACAACTCTGTGGTCAAGATCATGTGCTTCCATTTTTTAGGTACACAGAACTGTACTGTCACCTTTTTAGTCCCCATCATCATGGTACACACAGAAGAAGCCTAGAGTATTCCCATTTTACAACAGGCAATTTAAGTTTTGATTTTCTTTGATGATCAATTTGAGATGAATTAGTAAGATTCCAATGTAGAGCCTATTTTATTTCATAACTTCCTTAAAAGATTATTGTAAGAATTAAAGCAGTGAATACATGCAATAGGCATATAGTAAATACTTTAAAATATTAGCCATTATTGTGATCATTTTATTAGTTATTTCCTTTGAATCTAAAAGTACAATTATGTTCAAAAATTGCAGATATAATTTCCAACAGCTTACTTTGCAGTTTGTTCTTTATTTCCCTTCCTTGTTCTATTTATTTAACTCCCCACCAAGATTTGGGAATGGTGGAAACTGTAATCTATTTATCCCAAAGGTTTTTAACTTTGATCTGTGCCACAGACCCCTGTAGCAGTCTGGAGAAGACTATGGACCTCTTCTTGGAACAATATTTTAATTATTTTTGGTTTTTGTTTTTTGGTACCAGGGATCAAACTCGAGACCTTGCGCTTGCAAGGCAGGCGCCAGAACCACTGAGCTAAATCCCCATCCTGGAACAATATTTTTAAATATTTAAAAAGAAATATACTGGGTTACAGAGGAAACAATTACACTGTTATATAGGTTAGCAAAATATTTCCAAAAATAAATATGTGAAAATAATAATACAAGTGGTTCTTTATTTGGTAGGTATATTTATTGTAATTTTGAAGTAGAGGTGAGCATAAAATATTTCAAGACAGCTATAATAATTGATGTGATATGAAAATATCTATGATTTCTGTTGGTGATAAAGTCAAAGATTATTAGTTCTGCTCTGGTTTATTGCCAATATTCATAATAGAAGGACATATAAATTTCACTTAAAAATGAGTCTTTTCAAGTGTGGTATTTTTTTAATATCCAGTTCTATTACTGGACACACTGAGGACTCCTGGGCTCAGGAAAATAACCTGTGTCTTACACCCTGTGTCTTAGTTACTTTTTCATTGCAGAAACAAAATACCTGACACTCACAGTTAAAAGAGGAAAGGTTTATTTCAGCTCACAGTGTATAGAGGTTTCAGTCCAGAGTCAGATGGCTTCAATGCAAGGTGGCATGGCAGAGGGGCATCACAGAGGGGAAACAGTCCATGGCAGAACAAGCAGGCAGCAGCAAGCAACAAGCCTCTTTTTCCTTTTTATCCCATCCAGGCTGCAAGCCCTTTGGGTGGTACCACACACACCCAGATTGGGGCTTTCCATTACCCACCTAGAACTATAATAAGCCAATTAGTGGGCTACTCTAGTATCATACACCCTTAATCCACATTCACACACCCTAGATCCAGCCATCTTTGAAAAGCCTCACGTATGACCACATGAGATTTTGGGGAGATATCTAGATACAAGCTAGAACACCATGGCAGCAGTGAATGACACATATACAGTTGCTTTGAACTAACACTTTCCTGGTTTGTTTTTCCTGCAGTGCCCAGTAGGTTTAGGTAGGTGAATTAGTATAGTTTAGTGACTGCTTGGAGTTACTTCCTCCTGCTTCAAGAGGAAGCACATGGTCTCAAATACTCAGCCTTGGTTTCCTTTCCTCCTAGAAGACCAGAGCAGCCAGACCCTAGCACAAAGGAGCAACACACCATCTGGCCCTCTCCTTACCAAGAAATCAGCCCAGATCTAGAAGTTTACAACATCATAAGAAAACAAAGTGAAGCTGACTTAGCTGAGCCTCGGCCAGACCTGAAGAATATTTCATTCCGGGTGCATTCGGAAGAAGCCACTCCCGAGGACATGTCTTGTGACTATGAAAACATGGCTATGAACCCTTCAGAAAGTGGGTTTGTCACTCTGGCCAGTGTGGAGAGTGGATTTGTGACCAATGACATTTATGAGTTCTCCCCTGACCACAGGGGAAGGAGCAAGGAATCTGGATGGGTGGAAAATGAAATATATGGTTACTAGGACACTGGGAAAACTGAACTGACAAGAACGGGAAAGACTTGAGAAGCAAAATTTTCCAACTTTCTATAAGGAAATAGAAGGTCTATGAAAATGCTCAGATCAGGTCCTGGGGATGAGCATGTGATCCCCATTAGCCCCTATTGGATCCCTAAGTTCTGCCTATATCCCTTATCACAGCCTCACACTCAGCAAGCTCAGCCTTATGAGAAACCACCTTGGCCAGGGTCAGGCACATAGAGTCTCAATAAAGATCAGTCAGTTGGCTTCCTCTGACTTTCAAGGGACAGTGCTTTAACTGGCAAGGATAAGGGTTGTGGCTGTGGAGATTGGAAAGCCGATTGAGATCTAGGTTCTGGTTTTCTTGCTCTGTAGAGCAGTACACATAATCACAAAGAGACAGAAACCACAGAATCTTTTCAAAATCTTTCTGATAGCCTCAGGATGGCCTACACATCAACAATTCTCATATGTGGGGTTTTATTTTCTTTTTCAAAGAATAAAATCAAGTAAAAAGCAGGAAGTAGAATGTTAAAATGTTGGTCTGTATTTCTATAGCCCTTTCTTTGTGGCTTCAAGTGACCTTTTTTTTTTTCTCCTTACCTTGGTAATACTTTTGAAACTAAAAATGAAATCTGTGTCTCTTTTTCTAGGTTTATTTATACTCCCACCCTTGACACTACACATTGTTCTGCTTGCATGTTTTACTGCAGCATTAACATATGACTTATAATAATAATAATCCTACATTTCTTTTAGGGACTTGACTATTTCAAATACTTTCAGTCTCAAATCCAAACGGAAGTTTCCTGGCCTAGCACCAGTCATGCACACTTTGAAGGCCTGAAAGCCATTATTTAAATCAATACCAGTCCCCCTCTATCAGCTTGATAATATTATCATTTTAATCTTTCCTCTTATATCTTATTTATTAACAGTTTAGCAACTAGTCTTATATATGGAGTTGTAAATTAAATGGAAGCAATATCAAAAGTAGTAGATAATATTTACTGCTCAACTATCTGCCCTACCAGGGCACACGGAACAGGGTAAATAACAAAAATATCACTCCTGCCTGCCCTGGAGCTATGTTTTGTGGAGTAACAACATTTCAAGAAAAAACAATGAGCATGTGGGCTGAGGGACTGATTCTTTTTGTGTTTTTTTTTTTAAATGTCCAAGTTCCCATTTTGCTTCACACATGCTAGCTGTATAATATCTCTCTGTCCTTCATTATGCCCTACAACTCTGGCCTCTGTAGACCTCCAGCTCCATGAGGGCAAGAATACTGTCTGCAGCTCGTCATTGTGCTTCCATGAAAGCACTGTGCTGAGTAGGTAACCAATGTTTGTTGAAAGTACGCACAATGAATCTTTCAGGCTGATGTCAGACTACCCAAATATTTCAGTTGACAAGTTTGTTGAACTTGTTTTTCACACTCCTGAGTGGAGGAGTTAGCTGAATTTTAATTTGAAAAGAATTTCTGCTGCCTAGGAAGAAGGAAGCATATGGTAGTAACAAGTAAACAGAAGCTGGTGAATCATGAGCAATTGACTTTGATTATATCAGTAAAACTAGAACCTAGAACCGAGGACTCATCCTTAATCTGAAAAGGGAGCAAGATTATAATCAGAATAGATTCTTTAATCTTCAGCATCTTCCCTTTGTCATTAGTGTGTTATCTCAGCTGGGACCCACAGATCTCCTCCTGATTGCACCTACTAGTCTTAGCTGTTTGTTTGTTTGTTGTTTTGTTTTTTGAGATGGGGTGTGTAGTTCAGGCTGGGCTTGAACTCACTATTTTGACCAGGCTGGCCTTAAACTCATGGTGATCCTCCTGCCTCAGCCTCCCCAGTGCTGGGATTACAGGTATGTACCACCACACCTGGCACTTCATATTTTAATTATTCAATTTCTTTTTTCTTCCTCAGATGTACTAGCTTGAGTTTCCATTTCTCTGTCCAGTAGTTGCATTTCACTTATTTAGCAAACATTTGCTAAATGTTAAATGTTTGCTATATTCAAATTGAAATCCAGCTTATTCATTAAGCTAGTATCATTTGGAAATTTAGTAAACCTGTTTCATCATTTAAAATTGGAGGCTGGGACAGAAAGATTGCAAGTTTGAGCCGAACCTGGGCAACTTAACAGCTTAGTGAGACTTTGTTTCCAAAAATAAAAAAGGATTGGGAGATATACCTTAATGTGAGGACTCTTAGTTCAATCCCAGTGGGGGTGGGGAGGAAAGGAAGGAGAAAGTGAGAGAGACAGAGAGAGAGAGTGCAAGAGAGGGAGAGAGAGAGGGGGAGGGAGGGGAAAACGGGGAGAGAGAGAAGAGAGAGAGATCCCTTAGGGCTGTAGCTCAGTGGTACAGCACTTGCCCAGCATGTGCAAGACCCCAGGTTTGATTCCCAGCTCCATAAAAGGTAAATAAAACAAATTAAAATGGTAGTTCCTAAACATTATTTCCCACTGCGACAAACATGACAGATGAAATGATGAAATGTATGTATCAGGTAATCTCTTGGGCCTGTCCACTCAACAAGCTATTCTTGAACGTCCACCGTGTGCCAAGTACTGAGTTAGATGTGGCCCACAGTCAGATTTCAGGATGAGATTTGGAGAAGTTGGGCTGTAGGCTATACACTTTTCTAAACACCACAGCGGTAAGGCACTTTTTTTCTCATGATATTCATTTATGCTAAAAGTTTTAAACATATCTACTTTATACTAGGTGCTAAGCAATTAGTGGCAGATAATGCAGATAGAATCCATCTCATACATTCTAGTGGAGAAAAGATACATCAGAATATAAATTAGTGAAAGAGAATTTTCTATATTTTGTTTTTAAAAATTGTTCACAGCTCTTTCTTTTCTCCCTCCCCTTTCCCTTCTGCTCTTGAACAAACCCAGAGGAAGGCAGGCATCTGTGCCTGGGAAGGAGATGGTGCTTGATAGCTCACAGTAGGGTAACAGCCCCAGCAGGGTGAGGAAGGTGTCCACAAAGAAGAGAGATTCAGTATGGGTATGGCCTGAATGGCTGAGAAGGACATCCACCCATGGGATGGTGCAGTAGCAATGAGGGGAGCTTAGCTGAATACAGGGGGATTGGTGAAATAAGTAAGCATACTCAGGATAAGGAGATCCAGGTTTCTCTCTATCAGAGAAGGAAGTTACAGGTATAAAAAGAGACAATACTGGAATAGACTCTGTTGTATTAGATGGAAATTAGAAACTTTGATGTTATCTCTTGGATTTCAATACACACTATATGTGTGTATATATATATATATACATATTCTCCACTAAAATAACCAGGGCACCTTGAAAAATGGCTGATTCTAGGGCAGGAGCAGGAAAAATGCAAGACGTGCTTGTATAGTAGGAGTAGATAACTGATAACAGTCAAATAGAAGTAAATTTTAGGCCATCGTCAGGCCGGTGCACCCAGAGCTCCACAAAGCTGCTGCCACAGATGGAGCACAGAAACTCTGAAAGCCATGTTAGCCCCCGGCCAACTCCATGCCTGTGGTTTCTGTGCCCTGGCTCTGGCCACCAGGCAACTTCAAGCCTGTTCTACATTGTGTTTCCCCTCAGCATGGGGGTAGCAGAGGCATTGACAGACCTAACAACTGACCTGATCATGGACAAGGCCAATGTTTGGAAAGAGAAAATAAGCCTGGAGAGTTAGCAGCTCCTGAAAGAAAACAACAGACTAACAGCAATAGCCCCATGAAAAGCCCATGCCTATTTTAAATTGCAAAAACTGCATGGGGTTTTACTCTGAAAGTGACTCCTTCTACACAGCAAGCTAGAGTTGGAGAAGAAATCCAATGCAGCATGCACCATATTTGAGGTTTAGTCAGGAGCCATTCTGGGAAGGAGTTAATTGTTTAAGACTGAGCCACAGAACAACTTCACTTTAAGGTTCCCAGTGTTACCCTACCACAAAGCCACAAGAGACTTTCACAGAGAGGATATGAGCTAGACAGAGACTCCCTGAGAAGGGAAGAAGTTTAAGCTTGGGCCAGGAAGGACATGATGCTCTGTCCTCCATGGTGAGAGGAAAGACCCAGCAAGTGTGGCTTTTAGAGGTGACTGGATCTGAAAGTGCAGGTATTAAGTCCAGAGGTCTCCTTGAACCCCTACCCCACTACCTAAACCCAGCACAGAGATCAGAGGTCTGATTACTTTCTCCATCTAGAAATCTAAGCAAGGACAGCCTCATTTCGGAGAGTTGACACAGTCTAGGGTGTGTAGAAAGAGGTGCCTCTGGAGCAGAGGTAGGGGTGGAGGCTCACAAAACCACAGGCCATAAAGCTAAGTGGAGAAAACCATGACTGGCTGGATTCCAAGGCTACAGGTCCTAGAAAGAAACCACTCATTCAAAAATACAGAAGAATGGGGGGGGGGCTCATTTTTTTTCTTTCATTGAGCTTTGGGAGGTTGGGGTAGGTTTTTTTCTTTTAATTTTTTTTCTTTATTTTGCTCTATATTTTCTTTTTTTTCTGTTGCTTTTATCTAATTCTATAATTTTCCATTATTCCTTAACTTTTCAAATTTTTTTGATTCTCTCATTCTCCATCTCCTCTCTATTAGTATAACCATTATGCTTTATTAATTATTAGATAGTTAAGTGTACGCTATTACTGTTGAATTCTCTTTTATTGTTAAAGGATGTATAGCTATTGCATTTAGTAGATATTTACTGTATGCTGGCCATGTGGTTCAGAAGCCTTTGAAACTGGCTTGCAAGGGGAGTTTGAAAAGTTTTGGAGATGCCAGTTGAAGAAGCAGCCCTAGAATGCTGTATGCTGAGCTTGATGGGGGATTCTGGCTACAGCTTAGAAGACCAGAATGTCTACTGCACTGCAGCTCAAAAAGACCAGGCTCAAGTGGTTTCAGTTGGGAACAAGGACCACATTGGCAATTGGACTCCAGGGCATGTTATGCTCTGGCCAAAAATTTGTCTGCATTAAGCTGTCCAGAGACATTGTGGGAGACTATGATTAAGAACAGTAGACTAATCTGGTGGAAGAAATTTCAAGCCAGCCTAATGTTGAGCCAGCGGCACAGCTACTGTTGGGGGCTTTTAACCAGGTCTACATTGAGAATCAACAGCAAATGACCCCAGAGAATGATTTAAAGAGTTTTGAGTTTGGCCAGAAAGAAAGCTCCATTAAAGTTGTGGCCCACAAAGATGGAACAGAGGAGAACCTGGTTGCTGAAAATATTAGCAACAAAAAGCCAAATATTTTGGAGAGGACAACAGAAAGGATGGCCTTTGGACATCACAATAACCAGCAGGACTACACCCTTTGTGCCTTAAAATTGCAAAAAGACTTTGCTTAGAGAAGAGAGCCCCAGAGCACCATGTTCCAGAATGGTGGTGGCCTAGGAAAGTTGTTCCTTGAGATTTGGTTCATAGGCCCTTGGCCCCTACAAACGAGAGAGAAGGAATTCTGGCTACTGCTCCAACTATTGGCAGACCTTGGCATTATCTATGTGGTGCTGGTTTTAGGCACATGCAGAATATAAGAGTTTTAGGGTCAGGAAGGCTTCCACCCAGATTTCAGAAGAAGGCCTGGGAGGCCAGACAGTGTGCCCCTGAAAGGACATTAGGTGAAGCTGTAAGTATGAAGCCAAA